TGCTGTAATCAAACCTTTTTCCCACCACAAAGCTCCATGGGCATGTACAACACCAAGAGCTGTTTTGCTGTCAAGAAAAAAAAATGGCCATTTTACATTTGCCAATTGCAAAGTACATTTAATGCAACAAGTTCTGCCTTTAGAGCTGGTGTATTCGAAGTCAATGCTTCCTCTCCCAAAATTTCATGCTGGCTTTCCATGATGTAGCTTCTTCCATCAATAAACTCACTATTCTCATTCTGCATTTTGTAAAGGCTCATTTTTCAAATCTGGTTTGCTGGAGTAAACTGCATCAAGAACTTGCATGCAATCCTGAGGTAAACCATCAGGAGAATTATCTACTGGCATTAAAGGAACTTATTCACAGTCATCCAGAAAATTCAAAAGATAGTATTTTGTCTCAGAAGGAGCCCCTAACAATAAATAAACCCACATATTGCAACACAGTTCCAAAAGTGTTTTTCAAAAGGCAGGTGGACCTTCTTGGTTTTTTTTCCTTGAAAATTTTTCACTTCTCATCCAAGTGAAGAACTGAAGAAGCTTCTTACATAATCATTTTCTTTTTAAAAAAATATATTTTCTTTTGTCAACAAGAATAAAATAAAAACAGAGAAACAGAAAAATGAACACCAACACTAAGAATGAAAAATAATCAAACAAAAAGAAAAATAAAGTTTTTCTGGGTACAAAAAAAGGCGGGGAGACCTAAATGTTGAATATATTGCAGGATTCAATCTGGGTCCGTCATCAGGAACAGAAGTTTCGTCTTCCAAGCTTCCAGTCTCATGCTGGAGCCCATCCTCAGAGCCCCTCTCTGTGTCCAGTATGAGTCCGAAAGGTCAAGAAACAAAAACTGGTCCTGGTGACTGACCCAGATTGGATCCTGCAACATTATCCTGGGACACGTATGTTCTCCATCATTCATGTCTGACATGGAACAAAAAGAGCCCACCCCAGCTGGATGCTGAAACATTGAAAAAAACGCTAGGTTCTCCTTCTCTTACATAACGGATCTACAAATAGTTATAAGCTTTCCTATCCTTATTTGACAAAACTACTACAATAATAATAATAATAATAATAATAATAATAATAATAATAATAATAATAATAATAATAATAATAATAATAATAATAATAATACAACTGGAGCACCACTTGAACACCATTGGCATTGACAAATTCGCCATTAGTCAATTGCAAAAGGCGGCCTTACTAGGAACTGCTTCCATCCTGCGACGACATCTATAATACCATCAAACATCCACGTCTGCCTATCCCAGGTCTTTGGTAAGGACTCGATAGGTAGACAAAATGCCAAATCCAGTCTGAACATCTGGCTGACTGTGCGATCATCATCATCATCATCATCATAATGATAATCATAATGTTGGAAGGGACCTTGGAGGTCATCAATTCCAACCTCCTGCTCTGGCAGGCATTTTAGACAAATGGCTGTCCAGTTTCTTCTTAAAAACTTTCAGTGTTGGAGCATTCAACGCTTCTGGAGGCAGGTTGTTCCACTGGTTAATTGTTCTAACTGTCAGGAAGTTTCTCCTTAGTTCTAGGCTCCTTCTCTCCTTGATTAGTTTCCATCCGTTGCTTTTTGTCCTGCCTCCAGGCGCTTTGGAAAATAGCTTGACTCCCTCTTGTTTGTGGCAGCCCCTGAGATATTGGAATACTGCTATAATGTCCCCCCTCGTCCTTCTCTTCATTAAACTAGACATACCCAATTCCAGCAACTGTTCCTTATATGTTTTAGCCTCCAGTCCCCTAATCATCATTGTTGCTCTTCTCTGTACTCTTTCTAGAGTCTCAACATCTTTTTTACATTGTGGTGACCAAAACTGGATGCAAGTATTCCAAGTGTGGCCTTACCAAGGCGCTGTAAAGTTGTATTAACACTTCACGTGATCTTGATTCTATCCCTCTGTTAATGCAGCCTAGCACTGTGTTGGCTTTTTTGGCAGCTGCAGCACATTGCTGGCTCCTATTTAAGTGATTGTCCACTAGGACTCCGAGATCCACTAGGACTCCAAGATCTGATGACAGTTACTACTATTGAGCAAGGTACCCCCTGTACAATAGAATCCATCTATTATTGTATTCAACAGGTAGAAAGTCCACCAACGGCTTCCAGTCTCTTATAAACCTGTCTAGTCCATTGTCTGATCAAAGCAGTTGGTTTTGCCATCTCTGCTAGTTCAGACAATTTCAAGATCCATTCCTCCACAGTCAGCACAGGGCTTAGCAAGTACAATCCTCGCAGCAGTCATCATATAAAATGGTAACATTTTTCAATTGGTTTGTCCCTAATTCCTAAAAAACCCTTCAGATTTAATATCTTTATCTTAAATATTCAGAAATCAACAACAACCAAGAAAGTCCAGTGGCCTTTTGAACAGAACGTTTGGGCCAGCCCTGACCTGGAAGATTGAGAATCTCCACAGACAGTGAGGACCATTAATGGGTGGGATGGCTTGACCCCAAAAGTTGTGGCTGCTCCATCACTGGAGCTTTTCAAGGCATTTGTTTATCCAGAATGATATAAGGTCTCCTGCCTTGGCCACAGGGTTGGACTAGAAGACCTCCAAGGTCCCTTCCAGACCTATGATTCTATGACAATTCTAAATGCTGACTGCTAGTAAAGATTCTCTGGATTCAAAAAGGTGGACATTCCCTGATTGCAGATTCCTACCTTTTGTGCTCTTTAAAGAGGCTGACTATTCATTTTGGTAATATTTGCATCCTAGGAAAAACTCAGAGGACATTAAAAGGCATCAGTTTTAAACATTTAGATTTTTAAAACATAGATTTGGTTGTTTTTTTAAAAAAAAGATCTTTATATGTGCAGCAACCCTGATATCTACTGTGCAGGAGTCTCAACTGCACCCTGAAATTCTAGATACAGTATTTGTTTTTTGTCTGCATATAGTCATGACCCCAGAAGCTCTTCAGCTGTGAATCAGACATGAACAGCGCCCCTAGAGTCAGACACAACTGGCAGGGGAAATATTTACACTTTTTTAACTCCTCTAGTCTCTGAAAGGAGAAATCTCCCATTGTTTCCTTTACAGAAACTTGGGAGGATCCCTAATAAGTCTCTTGCTCCACCTATTATGCAGCTGTGGGGCCATCTTGTCTCTTGTGTGACTGCTCCCTCTCTTTGCCCATTCTCCCAAGGTCTTTCCCACAAATAAATTACTGTTTGTGATTCAAAGGATACTGGATACTGGAAATGCCACTCCTTCCTATTTTCTTGCTTGTTATCAGAACAGTGTGTGTAAAAGAACGTCTGGCAACAGAAACGCAAAGTTTACTCTCTTTCCATTGGCAAAATCCACATAACTGGTGAGCTTCATTTAGTTGTATTGTTCCCAAAATCGTCTGGCCAAATGTGAGATGAAGAACTATCAAACAATGTTACCGTACATTACATTCTTTAATGGCTGCAGAAGTTCATCTTCAAAACATTTATAATATTGAGTTGTAGGTCCATCTGGGCCAGGGGCTTTCCCTAATTTTATTTATCTTATAGCCTCTAATATTTCAAAGGTAGTTATTGGCATATAAAGACCAATCACTATTGATTTTGTTCCATTAAATTCAATTTCCACTGTTACAAATCTACCATATTCATCTGATAAAAGTAGCCTAGGTTTAAATTGGGGTTTTATATAAAAAACACTCTATTAATCTTTTATAGCCCAAGAGATATAAACTCCTCCCCATGTCTTTTATTTGCTAAATATTTCTGGACTTGTTTTTAATATGTGTTTCGTGAAGACAGATTATATGAGCATTAAGTTTTCTCAAATAGTGAAACACTTTTTTAGGCTTAGATGGGGTTTTCGAGAAGAGATTGGACAGCCATTTGTCTCTAACGGTACAGGGTCTCCTGCCCTGGGCAGAGCTTGGAAGAGAAGACCTCCAAGGTCTCTTCCAACCCCATTGTTCTATGTTCTATGATTGCTCTTGGTTATCTGCAACTGACAATAGGTCTGTAATTATATTATGGGAGTTGCACAATGTGGGTAGTGCTGATATTCAGAGGTCTCCAGGGACAGGTCCTGGTTCCAAAGACTTAAATCTGTCCCTTCTTTCTTTGATGCCTACTTTCCAAGAAAAATAAGACTTTAATCCCAGTGCAACAATGCTGTAAGCGTATTTGAAATGGCTGCTGCCAGTTATGGAATATTGTGTCTTGGCAAGAAAAGACTTCTTCACGTGTACAGTAAACATCTTCCTCTTATCCAGATGAAAACATCTTACTGACAGCTCATGAATGACAAATGAGACCTTGTTCTCCTTCCTTTTCTATTGACCTTGTGACTTAGGAGGGCTTTCAGCCTGCAAAGTCTGTGCCCACATAAATATTTTCAGTTTTTCTTGCCTTGTAAAGAAGTTTCTATCAACTGATGAGTGGGGTGAAAAGAATATTAACTTCCTGAGTACTAAACAGAATGATTCGGAAAGATGTGCAGATTAAAGGTTTAGAGATCAAGAGAGAAATTTTCAAATTGCAAGCCTTTGCTGACGATCTTGTTTTTATAATCGAAGAGCCACCACAATCAGGGATAAGGCTAATGGAAGTACTGGGTGAATATGGTGAAATGGCAGGCCTAAAGATAAATAAGGAAAAAACTAAAATGCTCGTGAAGAATATGATTAGAACACAGAAAAATGAATTAGCTGATAGATTAGGCATTCAGATCACAAAGAAAATAAGATACTTAGGGATACAATTAACAGCTAGGTGTGTGACAATTAAAAGAGACAATTATGATAAATTAATGG